TTAATTTAGGGCAGAACTAGGATACACATAGGCCAGTGGTGGGAGTTGCACTAGCAGTGTTTTGTGTCCGCTGTCCTTAGTTTAGCTCCAATTATGATAGGTTGGAAGGTGGGCTGGAGAGACAGCTTCATATGGCATAATCACACTGTCTCTCCAACCATTCTAACCGTACATGATTTTTGTGAGAGTGTCTGATTAATGATACTCAGTATGTATTTCCCACTAATCTTGGGTAAACTGTGTCCATTGAAATAACTAGTAGATTATATAATAAATATATTTCTTTAACTCTATTATCTTATGTTTGTAACCTATATTCTCTTTTTATTGATATTTGGTAAGAAAAGGCCGCATACACAGAAAAAGTGCTGAAATGGCAATGTAAAACGCACCCATAAGGCGAGTCTCTCCTGTTCATTACAAACAGTCCAGAGGTAGGTTGTTGGGGTTACGTGGATGAGATCACAAATAGAGCAACAATGGGAAGTGTTTCTCTATTGCTCGTTCTCGTAAGGCAATAATATTCATATCCATAGTTTGACTGTGTTTGAAAACATGGCTTTTACCATATATTACATTTTCAGATGTTCAGACTGTAGAATCAAATTCCCAGTTGAGCTGTTACTTTAAAACACTCTGATCACAAAAGAAGATCTGCTTATCACAAACTGGACACATCCTTGGATTATTTAGCTCACATAATTTTTGGTAATTATAACATTCCAGATTTCTTATACAATGGAAGGCCCACAAGGGATATCCAATTTATTGGTTTCTTTATTATCTGTCAATATAGTTGGCAAGACACGATAATTTATTCCCATAGAAAAAAAGAGCCGATAAACCCTCATGCTACCATAACAACTCTGATGCATCAAGGCATGGACTCCGCAAGACTTCTGAATGTCTCTTGTTGTATCTGGCACCAAGACATAAGCAGCGAATCCTTTAAGTTCTGCAAGTTGCAAGGTGGGGCCTCCATTGATCGGATTTGTTGTTCCAGCAGATCCCACAGATGCTTATCCGGTTTGAGATCTGAGGAATTTGGAGGCAAAGGCAACACCTTAAAACCTTTGTAAAAAAAATCCTAGATAATCTTTTCAGTGTGGTAGGGTACATTATCCATGAATACCAATCAAAGGTTGCCTCTTTTTACAGAGGAGTGTGTATAACAAAAGTGCTCAAAAGAGTCAAAAAGTGATTTACAGGCAGCTCAATACACTAGTGTGGAAATATCCTCTATTCCACTGAATAAATTTAGTAGATATTGGTGCGGTGTAAGTGACAAGGACCTACACCTATAAGTGGAGCGCTCAAACACAGATAAATCTTACCAAAACGTAGTCTCATTCAATGGTAAAATATGGGGTACATGTCAACATAAAATACAGAAAATACAATATAGTGTAGACGGTACTAAAAAATGGCTTCACAGTGATTATAATAATATTGTGTTGAATATTACACTCACATTTCAAGGAGCCTGTATATAGAAAACACTGGCTCCGTATAAAGGCTTGTGTGCTGTTATGGTAGCACCACCCTCCTACTTCGGCTTGAAGAATTTCTCAGGAACACGAAAAAAAAGAGAAGAAAGCAAACCAATGTGTAGACTTATGGTGATAGATGGCACAGATATGTGTTCAATAAATGGGGTGCTCACCTGGTCCTGAGCCTACGAATCCCGGCTCTAGGTATGTGGATTTTGTGCCAGTTTGAATGGGGATGGCACTACCCCTGTGAGGATTCCTTGGAGGCTCCAAAAGGAACTTGGATGAGGTTTTGAATAAAAATGGTGAATTTATTAGTTTAAAATAAACATAAAAACAAAGATGATAAAAGTCCTCAAATAAAAGTCCTTTAAAAATGGCCAATACGCGTTTCACTCTCAAATAGAGCTTCTTCAGTCAGCTGTAATGTTGGTCCTCTGAATCCTCCATTTTAAATGTCATCTGGGTCTTCCCCTTTAATGAGTTAAGTTCATTCTGTCCAATCAGATTCAATTTCACATAATGTGTGTGTATGTGTGTACCTTTAATAGGTTAATGATGTTGACGCCTTTATTTGTCTATTTTTTCATTGGTAGGCAGCATTGGTTGGCGGAAGTGCTTGTTTTCAACTGGGTGGTTGGCGGAAGTGACGTCATCTAATCATGTGATCGCCATCCAGCCAAAAAAAACCAAAAAAAAAAAACCAACCAATGGGCAGCATTGGTTGGCGGAAGTACTTGTTTTCAACCAGGTGGTTGGCGGAAGTGACATCATCTAATCATGTGATCGCCATCCAGCCAAGAAAAAAAAAAAAAGGCAAAAAGGGCTGCAGAATTGAAATGACAGTAAAATTGCATAATGTCAGATATTACATTCCCAGTGATAAAATATAATTTGTGGTGCATATAGACTAATATATTTACATTGTTAAAGGTGCATACAGTGCCGATGGTACATATATTTTTATACATTAAAAAGGTGATATTACATACATATGTGCTGGAATAGATATCCTTATTGGGTATTTTCCCAAAAGGTGGTTAAATCAATCTTCTTTAAGTGGTATTCACAATGTTTATAAGTTTGGGCATAAATAATATGCCACTGATTGAAAATGAATAAGAAAAATGTATAAAAGAAAAACAAGGGTACAAAAGAGTAGAGTGGATTACAATGGATAAATTCCATTGAACCCCAAAAAAAGGGAGATACCCATTTAAATGAAATGGCAGAGTTCGAAGTCTATATTCAAACCCCGGGGCTTTAAGGTCCCGAGGTTGAATATCCACCTCATCTCACTCTGTCCCAGTAATTTATTAAGGTCGCCTCACCGCCAATTCCCCTTAACCTTTTGTATACCCATAAAGAGTAATTGAGTGGGATCACTATTGTGGGCTAGGGTGAAGTGGTGTGATACACTGTGTCCTTCAAATTTTTTCTTTATATTTCTAGTGTGTTCCTCAATCCTAGTGTGCAAATTCCGTTTGTTGCGTCCCACATATTTTAAACCGCAAGGACATTCCAATAAATATATTACGCTGTTTGAGTAACAAGTTATAAGTTCTTTAATAGGGAATTCCTCATTGTTATTGCAGTTCTTAAAAGTCTTAATATGTCTCTTTTTATTGTTGGTGTTCCTACACGCAAGACAAGTACCACATCCGTAAAAACCCTTTCCTTTATTTAGGAAGGTAGTAGTTTTAGTTTTTTTAATGTGGTTCTTTACCAAAAGTCGGTTTAAATTAGCTGCACCCCTAAATATTATCTTGGGTTTTGGTGGTAGAATCTGGGATAGGGCATGGTCCTGAAGTAAAATAGGCCAATGTTTATTTAGGATTTTCCTTAATGCCTTATTGTTATGGCTGTAATTACATACAATAGGTAAATTGACCTCACATTCATTTTGTGTTTTGTTTTTTTCTTGTAATAAAGTGCTCTGTGAAATTTTTAAAACTTGTGTATAAGTGTCGTTGAGGGTCTCCTTTTTATAGCCCTTATCTAACAAGTCGGTAATTAATTTGTCTGCTTGTTCCTTGAAGGTGTCATTGTCCGTGCAATTTCTTTTTATACGTATAAGTTGTGATTTAGGTACACTATTTAGCCAAGGGGAAAAGTGACAGCTTGAGGTGTGGATAAAGCTGTTCACATCTACATCTTTAAAGTGTGTCTTGGTCTTGATCTTTTCATCATCAATAAAAATATCCAAATCTAAAAATGTAACCGTGTGTTTACTAAAATTTGTTGATAAAATAATGCCCCATTCATTATTATTTAATTGATTTAAAAAACTTTGTAGCGTATCTTCTGTGCCCTTCCAAATAAAAAACAGGTCATCTATGTAACGGCGATAGGTCACCAGGCCCCCTACCCAGCCCTCATTAAGTTGTAAGTGTTGGCGCTCCCAGTCTGCCATGAACAGGTTGGCGTAGCTGGGTGCGAACCTGGTGCCCATCGCCGTCCCACATGCCTGTAAGTAAAAAGTGTCATCGTACCAAAAATAATTACTGGTTAAAATTAATTGTATCCCTTCAATGATAAAATCAATTTGATCTGACTCAAATTTCTGAGATTGTTCTAAAAAGAATTGTACTGCTGCACAGCCCTTTTGGTGTGTGATAATGGTGTATAGAGAGCTGACATCAGCAGTTACTAGGTAATAGTCATGTTCCCATTTGATGGTCTGTAAATGTCTCAGAATGCTCCCTGTGTCTTTAAGGTAACTAGGGATGCCTTGCACTATAGGCTGGAGGCATCTGTCCACATACTCCGAAAATCTACATGATATGGAGTTGATGCCTGAGACGATAGGTCTTCCAGGTGGAACTATGGGGTTTTTATGCACCTTGGGGAGGTAGTAGAACACCGGGATCTTAGGGTGTGTTACGTTTAGATACTCAAATTCTTTTTTATTTAAAATCTCCTTTTGTAAACCCTTGGTTATGAGATCGTAAAATTTATTTTTAATTTCAATAGTTGGATCTCCTTTTAGTTGTGTGTAGGTTGTGTGGTCGTTAAGTAGCCTCATACATTCTGTGTGATAGTCTTTAACATTTAAAATGACTATTCCCCCCCCCTTATCCGCGGGTTTAATGATGATGTCATTATCTTTCTGTAGTTTTTTTAAAACTTTGTACTCATCTTTTTGAAGGTTTTGTTGGTAACGATTCGCTTTTTTTAATTTATTGATGTCTGACATCACCATTTTCTCATAGGTGGTCATTTCTCCTGAGATTAAGTGTTTTGGAAAAAACGTGGACTTTTCTTTTAATGTCGTGTGTGTATACTTTTCTGTATTAATCAGGCTATTGGTTATGGGATTTTTTTGGAAAATTTTTTTCAAACATAAGGTGCGTTTAAATTTATTTAGATCTACATACGTCTCAAATTTGTTAAGATTTCTAGTGGGTGCAAATTTTAGACCCTTCTGTAGTAATTTAATTTGTGTACGGTTCAATGTAGTGCAGGTGAGGTTAAAGATACCTGCTTCTTTTTCCATCTCCTTTTGATTTTTTATGGGTTGTGTTTGTCCCTCTTTCCTCCTCTGTGTGTCCACGCCTCCTCTATTTCCCCTTCTTCCGTGCTCCTTTGTCTTTTGTTTGGTGATTTTTGGCGTGAGAGGAATTTGTGTTTGTCTTTGTTCCTCAGACTCCAAAAATCCTCTTCCCTTGTGATTTTTTCAAGAGGTTCAAATCTATTGTTGGTGGAAATATCGGATATTCTCCTAGGATTGTGTCTGAATTTGCTTTGTGCTGTTAAGAATTCATCTGATTTTGCTCTTTTTTCCATCTGGATAGGAGTTCTCATGTTGGGTGTGTGGGTTCTCCCATGGGGACTTGTGGAAGGTTTAGGTTCTATTCTCTCTCTAGGTCTCTTATTGTGATGGTCCCTAAATGGGTTTGCCCTTGGTTGATAATTTGTGCGTGTGTGATGTGGATTGTAAGAATTGTGTCTGTATTGATCATATGTATTATGATTTTCTGGTTTTCGATTTTTCCCAAATGTCCTAACTTCATTGCGTCTGTAGTCATTCTTATCACGTGTATATTTACTCTTTTTGATTTGTATAGTCTCTTGTTCTACTTTGTCTATAACACATTGGATTTTATCCGTGATCTTTTTATATTCGTCTGTGTTAGTGTGATTGATAAGAAAATTTTGTTCTTTATTAATTTCCATGTCTAATTTATCTAGTGTAAGTTTCCTCCTAGTTATGATTTTTTGCATCATAACAAAGCAAAGCAGGGTACATTATCCTGCTGAAAAAAAGCCAATGCCATATTGAGATACCATTGCCATGAAGGGGTGTATTTGGTCTGCAACAATCTGTAGGTAGGTGGTACGTGTCAAAGTATCATCCACATGAATTCCAAGACCCATGGTTTCCCAGCAGAACATTGGTTCGCTGGCCTTCCTTCTTCCCATAGTGTATTTTGTTACCAGGTAAATGACACACATGCACCCAGCCACCCACCCACTTGATCTAAAAGAAAAGTGATTCATCAGACCAGGCAACCTTCTCCTACTGCTACATGGTCCAGTCCTGACACTCACGTCCCCATTGAATGGGGTAAACAGGGGTCGCCATGGGCACTCTAACTGATCCCTATATACAGCAAATGTCGATGCATTGTGTTCTGACACCTTTCTATAATGGACAGCATGTGCCCAAGGCTTCAATGAGCCTTGGGCACATGACCCTGATGCCGGTTCACCATTTATTGTTCCTTGCATCATTTTTGGTAGGTACTAGCCACTGCCTACCGGGGGGCGGTAGGAGATGCTCTGATCCAGTCAACTAACCATCACTTTTTAGCCCTTTTAAAGTCACTTAGATTTTTTCACGTGTCCATTTTTGCTGCTTCCAACACATGAAATTCAGGAACTGACTGTTCACATAATGCCTAACATATTTCACCCCTTGACAGTTGGCATTTTAACGATATAATTAATGTTATTCTCTTCACCTATTAGTGGTTTTAATATTGTAGCTGGTCAGTATATTGTCACATGTGCATAATTAACATCTAGTACTAGTATAACCCCAATCCAACCTAGACGACTAGCCATTTTATGTTTCCTCATTTAATCACCACCACTGTCTCCCATCTATCCATCTAAGGCAGATTGCAGATATAGTGCATGTGTGAAGGGTTAGTCTTCTATACCAGCTGCTTGAGAGACAGAAGCTTTCTGTCTCACCTAAGCTCAGAAGAGCTAATTGGATGAGAGTGATCAGCTGAAGTTCTCAGCCAATTAGCTAGCTAAGTTCAAAGCTAACGGAAGCTCCAAGGCAGGATCTTCTGATTCTGTAGCTGTAGTAGTGGCAGGCAGATCCCAGGTTAGAAGTCAAACCTCTCTTAAATGGTTTGTATCAGGGGTGTTGCTGGAGCCCAGAGTCGGTTCCTGAAAAGCTTGATCTGATCTACGAAGACTTACATTATTAGCCACATGTCTCCAATTTCAGCAGGAAGCAGAGGAGCTTCTCATAGCTCCACCCCCTCAACCCACCAGAAATCAGGCTGCTCTCCTGACCTGGGTGTGAAGTCTGCTGCTGCTCCAGGCTGCTCCTGTAGCCCATGAACCAGGCTCCTCACTATAACCCTGAGTTACTAGGTCACCATTGTGTATGAGCAGCACAATAAGGGAATGGGTGGGTGCTGGGAAGAAACTCATTGTTGCTAATATAAATCTTAGCAGTGATTCCAGCTTCCCTTTCCAGGCAGTAACTGATTGCCTTCAGAAGCCCAGTGCAGCAGAGATTAGTAAAATATTTGTCTGTAGATTTTTAAATGTGAGTTGTTTAACAGTGAAGTGCATGAGGTTAGTGTCTGTGTGAATGGTGTGCTGAAATAGTGGTATGTGTGTGTTTCTGTGAGCTGAGGAATGTAGATATTTAAACTGTAGAGGGAGATAAAGAATTAACTTTGGAATGTGCAGGGCTGTGTTTAAATGCCAGGGGCCTATAGGCACAGTACTCTAACACTCCCTCAACACTGTTGTATAGAGAATCAATCAGTGCTGTCCTATGATATACAGTGTGCATCACTCAATGCTGTCCCTGCTCATACTGCACAGCACTTTCTGTTTGAGAGGCTGTTACTGCAAATGGGAAATGATCTCTTCCACTTCCTGTTTAGCCTCACTCACAGACACTGGAGGAACTGGGACTACTTCAACTGTTGGTGCAGGTCTAATATCAAGCATAGGAGGCTGACTAGACTACAATGGACACTGTCCAAGGCTCCTAGTATTTCTTTCCCTCATCAGCCCACCTAGGCTCCAAAAAGGCAGATTATAAGTGCTGTAACTAGGCACCCCCTACAGGACAGGCAACTAATGGGAATGTGAAATCTGGCCCTGGTAGTGTGGATTTATAACCTGGCAGGAGAGTGTTAACTGGCAGCGGGGGTGGATATATTATGGGAATCTCCATATTTGTTAAGATAGGCGATGTTAAGTAGTCTTGTAAAATTGAAAACTGTATTTTGTATGTGAGATTTTGGGCTTTATGTCAGCACCACTACTCAGAAATGCATGTTTTGGGTGTGCCCCCAATTTCCATTTTTTCTGTGTAGTTAGCTTGTGTGTGTGTGACAATGAGCTTGTCTATAGTGAGCGTGTGTGTGTGTCAGTGAACGTGTCTGTAGCGAGCATGCGTGTGTCAGTGAACTTGTCTGTAGTGAGCATGCATGTGTCAGTGAGCCTTTCTGTAGTGAACATGCACGTATGTGTCTAAGCTTGCCTGTATTTGCGTGTGTGACAGTGAGCTTGTATGTAATAAGCACCTGTGTGTATACCAGTGAGTTTGTCTGTGCTAAGGTTGTGTGTGTACTAGTAAGCTTGTCTGTGTACGTCAATAATCTTATGTGTGTCAGTAGGATTGTCAGTCAGTGAGCCTATTTGTGTTTTTGTGTTTGAGCCCATCAGTGAGCTTGTGTGTGTCAATTAGATTTGTGTGTGAGCCTGTGTATCAGTGATCTTGTGTGTTAGTGTCAGTGAAATTGTCTGCCTGCTTGTGGGTATGCTTACTGTACATTTCTTACCAATATTTTGGATTAAAAAAAAGAAAAATACCTATATACTTTAGTGGTTATGTTAAATATTACTTTATAACGTTTACAATATAGCTATGTCTTGCTATCCCAGATGATTTAGTAATTCATAAACATAAATTTTATATATACACACTATGTGGCACAGTGACTTATAGGGCTAGCATATATTTCTTCCAGGGCTGCTTTGTATTCCCAATCCCTCCGTATTAACAAAAACCTAGGCTCTGAGAACTGGAATTCATCAATAGTAGGAGTGCCGATTTTGCTTTAATATCTATATCTGTCATCTATGTTCATTTGTTATTGTCGTTTAGTGTGTGTAATGATAGAGCGCTTTCCTGCAGTTTTGTTTGAGTGTGGTGTGTGTAACCATGGTGTTTTGTAGCCAAGTTTCTTAACGTGTTGTGTGCATGTATGAGTGCTTTGCTTAGTGTGGATGGCTCCAAACTTTCATTTTCATCTTGTGCGTTTAACTGGGAGGCATTTTGTTTCTGTGGAAGATAAATAACACACGGAAATTAATCGATCCACAGCAGCAATAGTTTGGGGGATAAGACAAGCAGGTCTTTTTACCTATTGATTTCTCTTCCAGAGCTCTAACACCAGACAGGTGGAGGCGATGGAGGAAGGGATGGGTAGAAATGGGAGCGGAGAAGAGGTGTACGTGAATCTTCTGTTGCTGTATGGAAGAAGGGCTTCTGTGCTAAGCCTAGAAGAAACGTCTGAATTCATGCCAACACCAATTATAGGAAAAAAGCTGCCTTCTTTTGTCAATAAGAGAAGCCGTTACACAATGCAGCTGCTCTAATAACATGAAACTAACTAAGAGCATAAAGTAGACATCGAAGTCCCCTGCAGCATCTGTATTACCTACCTTTTTGTTACAGATGACCTATTCTCTTGATTTAAACAATATCCGCAAAGACAGTCACGTAAACCCACATGGGATTTATCCATTAAACAGTGAGATATGGTTAGTTAATAATCAGCTTGATAAACATAGTCCAAAACAGCCAAGCTAGAAAAAAACATGTTGATTATTCTCCAATTCAGACATATTGTGCTTGATTTTCAAAACTGATTGAGAACTCAATGTCATTCGTTGTTTAGTAAATACACGCAAAGAGAACTATTCACTAAATTAGGGACTGTGGAGATCTCACAACATGTTAAGTAGTCTTACCAACTGTAAACATTTTGTATATTAATCTGGTGTATAAATATGTATAATGTAAAGTTAACGTGATAAAATAAAAAAAACACAATTTAAAAAAAATGCAGATTAAAGACAGGTGATTTTAAATAGTCCTGTAAAATGTAAAACTGGACTTTTGTGTGTGCTGTCCCTTAATCTGTATTTTGTATAAAGTTTGATGTCAACGGCAGCACCCTTGCTGAAAAATGCATGTTCCAGGTGTGCCCCCAATTCCTGTTTTTCTTTTTCTTTCTATGTATTTATGAAGACTAGACCAGATTAATTTCGGGTTGAGCAACCAGCCGAACCTCCAGCTTTAGATGCCCCTTCGGAGGTGACCATAGGAAAGTATACATTTGAGGAGGTTTTATATAGCAATGCTACTTTAATAATTAATAGTTTAATTGTTTTTATTTGATACAGAGCAGATATATGACATGCATTGTGAATATATTCAGCAAAGTACTATCACTTTAATTGTTTAGTTTTGACACTGCAATTTTTTTAATTGTGTTTTTTCTCACATTCATTTTGCATTATATGTGTTCCCAAAACTCTTACAACAGATTAACTGGATACAATTTAGTTCATTTAGTACTAGCAGTATTTAGTTTGTCTCCTACATTAAAATTAGTGTAAGATCCACTGATAAAGGGGTACTGGCGGGCTTAACACGATATGGACATATGGTGGAACTAAATACGCATATTTTGATAGGTAAATTTTAGATAACCGTGTAAAATTTAAAAATGAATTTTGCGTGTGCACTGTTCCTTAATCTGTATCTTATTAGCGACATCCATCTACACATGAATAACTAACCACTCACACTGGCATTGCACTTCAAGCTAAGCAGCACAATCACACACATACAAAGACACACTTACACACAAGAAAACATATTAATATACAGAGACATGAATACA